TAGCTTTCCCAGCAACTGTGTCTTTTCTATTATGTAGGCTTAAGATGAGAGCAGGTAAAAACACCTCATTAGTCTCACTTTACCCCTCATTCCAGCTCCAGGAGCATCTGCAGATTCAATGGTATGAGCATTCTACCATATCTATCCCAAAAACATTACTCTATCCTTCTTCAGAAACATGCCTAGACAAAAAATGTGCTTCAAATCCCCAGGAGACTACATTTAAGATAAGCAGGTGTCATTATCTCTTTTTGACAGTATTCATAATGGTTTCCTCAGCCATGCATAAAGAGGACATATGATGACAGAAGAGCAACTCAAACTGACAGATATTACAGATGTAAATGCATTTGCTAGTGTCATTTTTGTTTAATTTCCCTCACCTCTGCTGCTAATTATCTGGGACAATTTGGGTTAACTTTAAACCACAAAATTCAGATCTATAATGCTACCCACGGCTAAAAGAATACTCATTAGGTGTGTTGACTCTGGAACACACATAACACACTGAATAATCACTATTATTAATGGGGATGACAACAGTACAACCAGCCATTAAGAGAGTTGTGCAATTCCTTTGGGGCTGTTTGAGTCATTACTCTCTGTTAGCACCAACCAGAATGGCACCTACACTACATCACATCTCAGAGGTGTCCTGCCCCTTCCCTCCTCTGACTAAAGGTGAGAGCAAACCCACCCCAACTCAGGTTACAGCCAGGAAATACCTCCTGAAAAACATTCACATAGCAGTGTAGAGTGCACACTGCTCTCTTCTGACCATTTCTGTTCATTTTGCTTTTGGTGGTTTAAATTCCACCACTCTGTTAACATTTAGCAACATATCAGTGTCCTTTATTTCTTAACAAGAATACAATTTTATCATTGCCTGTGTGTCAGTGTTTAGATATTTTCCTTACACTTCTTTGAAGAGTTAATCTGTCCATTTGCTCTGTCACAACAGTATCCTACTGCTTGCAGGGTCTACTCAGCTGTCTGCCAGGGAGTTTAGTGGAGTTACACACTGCACACATGCATAAATAATACTGTGAATTAAGAGTTTGCAAACTATTACTGAGTACACATACATGCTGCTAACACTGCCTTCACTGGGCTCTGTGCGTGTGGCAAACAAGAAAATCAGAGCTCTGCAAACACCTATTAATTCATCAAGCAAGGAGCTGGCACCAAGATTTGCAAGCTTTTTGTTTCTGCATTCATTTGAGAATGCTCTGAAAGACATTGAGAATTGCTCTCCCTTCAAAAGTCACTTTAACTCTCATCAGGCAGATCTAACATAGCCAGAAATAAAGTCAGAATAATTTTACATTTATCACAAGACCATGGAGGATATTGCACTTAGAATGGGTATTAAAGATATCTGTACTAGCTGGATGCTGAGTCTTCTCCATCTGATGGCAGGAAGGGCAAGTTTTAAGTTAAACAGCAACCACAAAAAACGAAATAGACCCTCTTAGTCTCTATTTGTTCAAGTCTATGGAGCTGCAAAGCCCAGCAGGGACCACTGACAAGCCCAGGAACCTACAGACATGGATCAAGTCTGAGTGGAGGTTGTGTGATTGTAACTGAGTGGTTGCAGGAATCGGAGTAAAAGAACAGGAGGCCAAAGAGTTCCCACCTCACTTCTTTCTGTCTTCACATCAGTTTCAGAACTGAACATTTAATAAAAATTATTCAGTACACCACCATCATGTAAAGGGCAGATATAAAGAGTGGAAGGAGAAAGGAGTCTAAAGTGAATATCAAAGCCTCACACAAACAAGGCATAATGAAGGAGAGAAGCAGCCCATTTTTCTTCCCTGCAGCATGGCTTGTGCTTCCTATTAACAAGGTGCACATTAATAAATTTAACTCAGACAAATTTAACCATCCTAGGACCACATTAATCAAAAGCCTGACAAGAGCAATCTGAGAGAGTTGAGGAAGGGAAGTAAAGCACAGCTGACACAGAGGATGCCATGCCCTCACTCACCCTGAGCACTTCCAATAAAAAATAACTCCTTCCTACTGCACTCCTACCAGGCTGATCCTGCTGCCTTCCCAGTGCTCCTCACCCACCCTGTGCCTCTTTATCTAATGTTTCCTTTTCCCTACATGTCTATACTTGAGAAAGATTTAGACCATTTCAGTATGATCCATGTGCAGGAACTACAAAGTCCTGGTGAGATTTGTGCCACTGGCATTGCTGAGAAGAAACTCTCAGGGTACAGATTAACACATGTAACAAAGGCAACATATCTTTGACAGGAAATCAAAATTACTATAGCTCATTAAAACTCTGCATTGGCCTGAACCAGAAGCAAAAGCAAGAGCTGTCCATTTATATTCATTATCTATGTGCCAAGTTCCCCAGTGCTGGAGCTCCACATTCCTTCTCAAGCTGAAATACCCATGGAGACTGCACATAGCCATGGGATTTATTGCAAGGAAATCCTCCACCCTTTGGTCTCTTCATATTTAGCTCAAAGTTGTTGCTATTGAGTAATGTTTTTAGCATGGAAAACATTGACAAACAGGTCCTTCCATCAGCCAAAACACTTCACAGAAAGATGGGTATGTCATACAAAATGAGGGAACTGAGAAGTAACTGCTGATCAAAGCAACACAAAGCAGCACAAATTAGACTAAGTGCATCCCCAAAAGCCATAATTATCCAAGCTACTCAAACAAAATAAGCACATACATGATTATTCAGATTTGCCCACAGGCATCCCCACAGCATAAAACATGGTGTGCTGCCTTGCTGTTCTTTCACTTGATAAAACAATAAATATTTTCATCGCTTAAGAGTATTGGTGTTTACATTTTCAGTCTTGAAAACTTGAGTGAAACTGTGTTGCCTTGACAATGTCTTTCCTCCAGAAAAACTTCTCTTTCAGTTGGACAACTGGGGTTTCTGCATGTTCTGTTTTGAGTACCTTGGGCTCATGGAAAACTGCAATCTTATTGTTGTGCAAGGCTTCAGAGGAAGGGTTTAGTGGCACAGGATTTTCATGGCATTTCAGGGAGAGCTACAAGTTCCCACTGGCTTCAGGTACTACCACAAGGCATAAGATATTTATTTCTATTGAAAATAAAGAGGACTTAAGCCACATAATTGGAATTTGAACCTAGGTGCAGTATATTAAACAGCCTGAAACATTTGGAAAAAGAATCTGTCCAAATTATTCATGGATGCCTTATGAATCTTTCAGCAAACCTGGGCTGAATAAGCAAGCCAAGCCTTGTCTATGTAGACAGGCTAACAACCTTTGAAAACCTGCCAGGCTCTCTTCTAACACTGCAAGAAGGAATCTAATATACTCTGAGAATACAGTGCTACAGAAAATGGCCTTGCCTTCCAACATGGTCACATTTATATCTCAGTACTTTATTGAATTATTTTTTTATTTGCTTTCCTACCACAAAACACTCCTTTCAGAAAGTTTTTTCAAAATCAAAAGAGCAAAAGTCCAGTGTTTAGGGTATTGACTGCTCATATGTCTGACTCACCACAAGCCCTTGCTTGGATTAAACCAAATGTTAGCTCAGTTTTTGCTTTGTTACCACCATTGGAAAGGGCTTCTCACTTGGGCAGAAAATCTTGTTCACTCCATGCCTCTTCCAGGTGGCTCCAATCCTCAAATAAAATATTCTAACTTACTCTCAGTTGCCCCATTGAGACCTTCAGCTATGAGGTGTCAGCAAATATCATCCTTATCATGGGAAAAAAGGGCTTAAGGGCAGGAATTCTCTCTTCAAGCCAGTCATGGACAGCCCCAATTAAAGCTGTGCATGTAGATTATAAACTCCCCATGTAGCCTGGCTATATTGCTTTAGTATTTCAACCAAGAAAAGCATGTTCATGATACAAATTTGCTAATCCAAGGTAAAAGCTGAATTCACAACCAAGTTATTACAGTAAAAAGGTAAGAGCTGAAGATGATTACACTATAATGTCAGCATAGCTGCAGTCACTCTGCTCTAAACCTGGACCAAAAAAAATAGTAATAACTTTCACCAGCTCTCATATTTAAAGTCCCTTTTAGTTTAGAAGAAGACTGCAACGAGAACTGTGGTTCATGTCACAGAATCCCTTTGGAATCTTCTAGCCTAGTACTTAAGTGAGGCAATGAAAAGTATTCAGTTAACATCTAAAAAGATTTTAAGACAATTTAAATATCCACAAGCCTCAACGGTTCCAACCTGTGTTATGTTTGAAGAGATTAAAAAAAAAATCACTAGACACCTTGTTTCTGCTTTCAGAAAAAAAAAACAACTAACCTATACATAAGTGGTTAATGATTTAGGCTCTAAAATCAAAGCTAACCTAATGCAATGCTAATCAAAACCTTAACACTTGCTGTTGAGTTACAGAAATATGCAAATCTTAATCTTGTTCATCAGGGCCACTGAAGGTCTAAATCTTTGGCTCTCACAATGAGAAATAATCAGCTCTAGATATAAAATGGCAATTATAATATTTACTATTAAACACAACATTATCAGTATGGTCTCAGACAGAATGCAAAGAGATATACTGTGTCCAGATGGATCTGCTGGGCACACTGCAGGAATTTCACCAGAAGACTTCAGTTGCTGGTCCAGCTTGGAATGAGTTATCTTGGTTTTGGTTTTTCTTAATTTAAGACTTCAAATACATAAAAATTTTAGTAGAAAACAAAATGTTTTTAAAATCTTGTTGAAATAGCTATTTCACAGTTTTTTTGCTTTAGGAAATATTTTATTTTGAACTTTTCAAATGTTTTACATAACGGAAGAGAAATTAAAAATACAAAATGGTATCAGTTCTCCTCCCTCTTCCATGCAAACCTGTAATTTTTAAAGAGCATCATAATTGGCTATTCCCCATATTTATATTCCTTTTTCCAAAATGAGAAAGACAAGAAAATCAGTATGTTCACAAAAGAGGTTGTTATTGTCACTGCTGACATGAGCACAATTCACCAACATCTTTTTTAATGCTTCATTGGGCTACTTACAGAACTGCTCCAGGTCATCTCTGTTTTTAGACTCAGGCATGGCAGTGATTGTGAGCAGTGGGCATGGATTTCCTCCTAGAGTCTGGCAGAGCGTCTGCTGCCTCCAGTAAACCTTCCTAGGGTTCCTATTTTGTTCCAGGATATCAAGATGGGACTGAAAAAGAAGCAAGGAGGCAGATTTATAAAGGAGTTCACAGTCTATAAAACCTGATTTTATTCCAGTAGCTGTATATTATTTTTGATACTAATTTCATATCTTGCTAACTTCCCAGCTGCTCTCTTTGCCAGTTAATATCAGCACCTTTTACATCCCACAAATATGCACAAGCCATTCACAATGCATCCCAGTTCACTGAAGCTGCACAGAATATTTATTCTTATATCATTATCTACTTGAGGAAGTCCCTTTTTATTGCAGAGAGGTTGGACCAGATGACCTTTAAATGTCCCTTCCAGCCCAAACTACCCTATGATTTTGCCTGAACAGTTCCTAGGTGCTTTTGTTAGCATAATGAAATTTCTATGCATGCATGAAATCCAAAAGAGAAGCATTTACTCTTTATATTTTAATAAGGGTTTTGTAGAAATGTGAGAAAACTCACCACTTTAGAACATTTACAGAATTGATTGCCTAGCTGTCAAGCACATGCCAGTGAAACTCAGTGACAAATCCATATCAGAGGCAGCCAAAAAGTTTCTATCGAAGCAACATTTTGTACAATCAGTAGTGGGAAATTTCAAGAGTGTCTTTCCAAGAAGTTATTTAAAAAAGGGAGATTTTTCTCCTCACCCCCCCAAAGTTTATGACAGCTCTAAATAATTCTAAAGACCAACAGCTTCTTGAGAAATTTGAGGAAAAGAACTGGCAGCTTAGAAGAAAGAGTTTTTGGAACAAATTCCGATCGGCTCATTAGACACGGAGCCACTTGTCACCCACACAGCAGATGCAGTGAGGCTCTGTCTGTCTGTCTGTCTGCAGTGCAGCTGAGCAGGGTCAGCTCTGCCCCTGTGGGCTGGTGCTGAGTGCTGGGCAACACCAGTTGTCCCCCAGTTGGCAGGAATAGGTGCAGTGAGCACCCTTGTGCTAACAATAATTAAAACATTTCATTTCACTCAGTGACCCTCACAGGGTGAAGGTTTGTGTCTAGCAGTCAGGGTTCAATTTTAATCTACATTTATGGGACACCACGTTCCTGTTTTATCAAATCTTGGAGCTCACCATGTTTCAGACTGCTTTCTCAGCATTCAAATAGAGCCATGTAAACGCAGAACTGAAATTTATAGTTAGCTATGTTATAAAACAATTAAAATACAGCTCTATAAAGTAAATTCAATTATTAAATGCATTTTACAGTCTCACGTAGATACAGAGAACTCAATATCATCATTTACTTATGTTCCTGGTACCCAGTGAAACTTAATTGGGTATAGCTACCACAGAGATTTCAGCTAGATATCAAAACAATTAATACTGTGATGTAAAAATAGATAAATTACTGTTCATAAAAGAAATGTAATTACTAATGGACAAGAAGTAATGAACTGCAGAGTGCATCCAGTTCAAATAGCATTCTGTAATATTTCCTGCAAATATTCCTATAACCATTAAATATATATGATGTTTAAAAACATTTTCAAATTACTAACTCTATATACAAGTTTATCTTCTTCCCCAAAGCACTATGTCTTCAATTGAGCCCTTGGGTTCATAACAGTTTTAATTTATAATTGATATGTAAAACCAACACATTTCACCAGTGGACAAATGCTTTAAAATGCAATCTACTGATGCACAAACCTGATTTTGTTTATTTACTGTGGAAATAAAAGTAAAATGAAGATGTGTATAGTGCATCACTTGACATTTTAAATAAGCCCAAGCAAAAAAGCCTTTCAGAATTATTAGAAGTAGTGATTTTGCTTTAGCTAGAGCTGGACATGACAATCTATCAGCCTTTTCCACCCATAATTCCCATTTACCAAACTTTATGGTCCTTATTGTGTCCAAGTTCATTTAAACTTTTCCTGGGGCAAAATTCCCTTTAACTTCAATGAGCATTTTATTTGAAGAGAAAGTGAAATACTTAAAGACCTGGTCCTGGAAGCCTAGGAATAACATCTTTTTCATCTCTATTCTATTCATTCAGGAGCAGGTGAGATATTCAGTCATTCCCAGAGCACACAAACTCTCCGAGTCTCTCTTGCTTTGTGCCAGCAAAAGATAGAAATCAATAACAGTAAAATAATGATGAAGCACTGCATTTATGTGAAATGTATGGTGGTGAATAAGCCCAACCAATTCTTCAGTATTGCATGTCTTTTTTACCCTGCAGACTAGAGATTTGTGCCTTCAGGGCTAAAGGTCAGACCCCAAAACTGGAGAATACACTCTTCCCCATGGAACTTTAGGAGTAACTGCTGAGTTACTAATGAGAAGTAAGCTGACAGACTTATCTTGGACTGAAGGCTGGACTGGCCTTCCCCCAGATATTGGAAGCAGTTTCTTTGAATGTGTATAATGGGATGCAAAACAGTTGACAAGAGGCTTTCTTGAGTGGGAATCAATCCAAGCCCCACTCTGCTGGTGTGACAGGCAGCACAGTGAGTCCTGGGGGAGGACACCATCCCCTGGAAAGCACAGCCTCCAAAATCTGCTTATGGCAAACTGATATCATTATAAAAAACACGCTGACCTCAAACTCCACCAGCCCACACCAGCATGTATTGCCCAAAATGTGTTGACAATGGAAATTGAAGTGAGAAGGGAGGGAAACTGATTTACTGGAACTGTGTGGTTTCATTTGCAGTAGCATTATTCTCATCTTTAGCATCAAAGCAAAGCTACTCCCAGAACTATTCATTTCACTTCTTTCATCCTATCTCCTCTACATCAATTATAGAGGAAGCATATTGGATGCATTTCCCAGAAAATTCCCTTACCATCCATCCCTTTCCACAGAAGAGGCTGTGGAAAACAAACCTGTGCCCAGCAAAAAAACTTGGTCTAACTGAAGAACTAAATTTATGCTGTGGAGTTGTATTCTTTTAGTTTCTGTACTGACAGCACTGGTGGGAGTACCACATTACCATCATTGTGGAGTAGGTGTAGGGGTAGTGGTAGGCCAGGTAGCAGACATCATCTTTGTGAGGGAACTTGATGCTGAAGGTGAGGGTGTAGTAGAACCTTCTCCTCACACCTCCTCCTCCTGCAGCTGCACTCCTGCAGCGGTAGTGGTTTCTGTAAGGAGAGAAAGAAGAGGAAAGTAAATGCTTTTCACTTCTAGATATGCATTTGAAGTAGCCATGGGAAAAAAATAAGCATTCAGAGAAGCATCCACACAACAGGACACAAAGCCCAGCAGGGAGCTGGGAGGCAGAACTGCGCATGGCAGTGCAGGGCACTGCCAGTCACGTCCTGCTGAGGGATGGGAGCACTCTCCTTGGAAAATAAAATCCATTAATGCTTCGTTTTGTTAAGATGCAAATAAAGAAGCAGTCAGCTAATAGTAGCTCATATAGCAGAGTCCAGACATATTTAAACTATGCATTCAGCTAAAATTGCTGTATTTTTTAAGATATCCACATTATCTTGCTCAGAGAGGCAGGTTACTATTCACAGCCCTGAACAATGCCATAAGAAAACACTCTGCAAAAAGCCTGGAGATTTAGAAAATATGAATACCCTACCAAACCAACTATTCAGTTCCACCACAGGAAAAAAAATTATATTTCAGGAATAAAAATAAATAATAAATAGGACACGCATAAATATGTTTCAAATGCCATCAAAGGCTTAGAAGAAAGAAGAGAGTGGGTTTGGGTAGAGACTGGGCATGAAAGAAAAGCGACTTCGTGCAGATTTTCCAGTTGTGACCAGCCCAGAAATTCTTCTTTGCAACTCTCTTTTTTTGCAGATTTGACCCTCTCCCTCTCAGAGAGCAGTGAGGACTAGCTGCTCCATAGAAAACGGGGAGCTGAGCTTGACATGGAAGCCAGAAGAGCAGAGAACTCTTGAGGCAGGGTCATCTCCCACAGCTCCTGATCAGGGCATGCCTGAGGACAGCAGAGGAGCCCAGCCACAGGTTCAGATCATCAGACAAGGTTGTGGTGGTGAGGCGGGTCTGGGACCATCCATCAGGTCCCTTCATGGGTCAGGACCCAGATCAGGATGCGCAGCACAGCAGGGACACAGCAGTGACTGAGCTGGAGCCTCACTACAGCAGAGCTCTGGGTGAGGCTGGTCAGCACTGACAGGGTCTAAGAGAGCACACAAATCCCTGACACTGCCTTCAGTAAAACTGCAAATCTCCTAACAAGCTCCTCAGTCTAGTGTCAGGGGCTGATCTCTTGCAGGAGACTTACTCTGATGAAGAGATGACTTCAGGCTGAGCAGGAAAGTTTTCTTTCAGCAGAGATGAAGTGACAAATCATGCACTTTAGGGAGAAGCCTCAGAGCAAATTGCATCCATAAGTACATTTCAAACAATATTTTTCCCACATTGCACCAATTATGCTGTTGCCAAACCTTCTGATTCTGAAGGACTGTGAGGTTTCTTTGACAAATGTTATCATCAATGTTGCATTAAAATGCAAAATAGAAGAGGCAACCAAAAGATGCAATTTCAACTCCTGAATTTTACAATACTAGTTTATTTTACTGCTGTTCATTTTTATTCAAAGGGGTGGAGAGAAAAGATAATTATTCTTGTCAAATTCTCCAAAATAATCAGCTCTTTTTCATAAGGGAGAGACAATACAATGCTGCTGGGTTTTCACTTGAATTCAATAGTTAGGAACATGTGGGGTGAGTGATACCAACTGGATCAATAGATAGTGCAGGAACACTGAGTCACAGTGGCAACCTGAAAAGGCTATGATTTTATTCTCAGTTGAACCCTTTACCCCAACATTTCTTTTGAAAATAAAGCACTTTAATATTGGACAAAGACTAAAAGAGAAAAAAAAAATCCAATAAAACCACAAATGTAGAAACATGAACTTAGCATTTATATATGTATTTCACTGGATCAAGGGTTAAAGTCTGGTGTCTTTTTGAAGTCATAATAATGGCATTTAATATAGTTCCTGGTAATTTTGACAATGAAGGATAATTAAGAACCATTTCCTGCATGGTGCAGAAGGAAAATGCTCACCTTCATAGCCCTCTATTATACTCGAGGCCACTTGGAAGGTTAGATCACCTTATTCATAAAGTGTGGTCACAAAAGTGCTTAATTCTTCCAATTCCTCCCCTCCAAGTTGACATCTGTAGTTAGAGGTGTGGGAGGAAGGTCTTTGCAGTCAGATATTGCCTGAATATCTGACATAGACATTATTCCCACCTGTCCCTAGCACTCCTGAGTAAAGGCATCTCCCTCTGTAGTTTGTAATTCTGCAGACAAGCATCTTCTCCTACCTCAAACAGCCACTTTAACCCAGGGGTTTTGCAGCAAGAGACACCTCTGACCTTGATGCCACACGGGTAGCTCAGTATTGTTCACTCCTGCCTGCTCAGACACGATGCCCAGGGCAGGGATGCTCTCACAGCACTGCTCAGCAGCACATTTCAACCTTGTCCCCAGCATATCTGCTGTTCCACCCAACTACCCACCCAGAAAAGACATTTCCAGACTTTTAAATCACTTGTTGACACCTGCTTCAATCCATAGCAAGCTATCTGGCAGTAACAGCGAGTTTACAGGTAGCTTTGGCTTCAATATGCTTCAGTCTTGCACTGAAAAGAAAAACCCCTGTGTGTAAGCAGTGTAAATGATCATGTACTTTTACTGTATATAATCTGGTCTCCTCACAATCCATCACACAAAGCAGTAGCTCTGAATATTTTTGAAAGAAACCTACAAAAATAACATTTTTCCTCTGTGCCTCCCTCTCCTCCTACTGCTGTCAAGCCAAAAAAACTCTATTGCTTCCTTTTTCCTCCACCAGACTGATGCCTTTTAGTTCCTCACCACTTTTTCATCACAACACCCTACAATATCATCAGGGAGCCTAAAGTAACAAGCAAGGAAAAGGAAAGGAATAAAGGACTCCGGCAACATCTGGTCCCCACTACCTTATTTGTCTTCTCTTTAAAAAACATGTTGAAAGTCTCTCATGCTTTCTAGAAGCCAACACACTGGTTATTGGAGAGAAAAAAAGAGACCCAAGTGTAGTTTTCTCAATGAACATGTAAGCTGTATCTACTGTGTCTTTCAGTCACTTTGTAGGAGTGAAATCACATTGTTTGCTGCTCTCCTTCAGAAAAAAATGCACAAGTATTATATTTCCAGCATAGCAGTGATGAAGAGTTAATTAATAATAATTATAATACTACTTATCTCTTACTCTGCAAGATAATTTTTTGAGCTTAAAAAAAAAATCTTTGCAAACACTACCTGATTAAAACATGCTTCCCCATTTATCTATTCCATTCTTTGGGTGGCAGATAAGTAACTCTAATTTTCCACCCTTTGTAAGAGGGGAAACAGACAGGTGAAGCAGCATGGAAAAAGATGCAGGCAGGAAAGGAGTTGGGCTGTAATTCAAAAGCATCAAGTGATTCAGGAACAATATCTCTTGGACATCTGATCTTTAGGCTTCCTGTCTGCAGCATTTAGTATTGTAAAATACTAAATGTATTTTAGTACTAAATGTATTTTAGTACTGTTGGATGATGGAATATGCCATTTTCAGCTTAGACTAAAATCACCAAAGAAAGTATCAATATCCCAGACTTCTGGGCCGCTTCAAAACAGAGTTCAAATGGAAAGTAAAATGTTTCTCTCTTCTAATCTGTTGATGTGTTTCCTTGGTCCAAAGTACTCCCCCACCTGGAGTTTGGTGTCCTCATTTTTGATATCTGGACTTCTTTACATCTGAGTGTGGTTATTAAGTGCAAGACACTTTAGTAACAACCCTGATCCATACCATAAAAAGCAGTATTCAACAATTTACTGGGCATGGCTGTTATTTTGGGGTCTGCCACACTGGAAAGCAGAAAATGCACAACACAGTTTCCTTTCCAAAGGGCAAATCCATGATAAGGTATTTTTGTTGCCAATATTTCAGGCAGAATCCCAGCTGAAGTAAAATATTCCCCCAGCCATTGTGCCATTGAGGTGTTCAGTCACACTGCAGTCACACTCTCACAGATCTCATTAGAGCAGGGAAGTAACCTGCTAATGTTATGGTGTTTATTTCATCTAATGTGATTATAAAGATGCTGAAAGGAGAACACCTAATTCTGACATTGTTGCGATCATTAAACAGCCAAGTTTTTAGTGCTGATGTGAGAACAAAACACTCCATGTAGCTCATAACTATCTGACCTGACTACTGCCTGAAAAAGCTGGAGGTCAGATAATATGCTTAGAATGAGCCATGAAACCAAAGGCACAAGCACATTGTCACCAATTCAACACTCAGCTGCCATTATTCCTTAAATAATTTGCCAGAAAGGAATATTATTCAGTGCACAAAAGCTGCCAAGACAGCAAGAGAATTAGATGATCTTATTGTAACTGCAACTGTTTATCATGGGTGTATCCTGTCACTTCACAGAGAGACAATGAAATAGAGCAGAAGTGTCACTCAGCTATTTTCTGAAAAGAGCTCTGCTAATATTCCCCACAACATAAAAACTCTTGTGAGACCTAGGAGGAAGGAACACAGTGACACAGCAGTGCCACAACATTCATCTTTATGAGTAAACTACCCCATCCACAGGAAGATGAATGCCAAAGATCAGCCAGCCTGCTTCACACAGACATCTCACCAATGAGCTTTTCCTCCCCCTGTCCTTCAGCTCAGAGGTGTCTGTCTGTAAAGGCCCTGCTGTTAAAGGCATGCCTGGGTTCCTCTGTAGTTTTGAAAGTGTATCACAATTTTCCCATATTTATTAATAACTCCTGGTAAAAAAAATTGGATGAGATTCCCTTCAAAATATGCAGCCCCAACTTAGGATATCCTGAATGGAACTGAAGTGAGCTCTTTCCCCAGAATACTGCCAGTGTGATATCTCTGTAGCAATCCCAACTCCTCTTCTGAGAAAGCCTGAGCAGCCCCAACCACACTAGTTTCACATTCCCTCCCTCCTACGACTTCTAATGACTGAGAATCTCTTTTATAATCACTGAAAGAAAAACATTAAAGTTTCAGTAGAGGTGAAGATGTATTTGTGTGTGTGCATGCACGTTCTTGTATGTACAAAAATATGTGAGAACCAGGAACACACAATAAATGGGAGACAACAAGTACTTATCCTAGATGATTATGTTGACATATAATTCAATGTACAGCTAGAAAACACAGAATATTCCAAATCAATAAAACAATTCTCTCATATATTCTGAACAAGAATCTGATTACAGGCTTAATTGCACAATCATGGCTTAATCTTGGAAGTCAGCTGCTGTTTAATCACTGCACAATAGCTGCCTTGCTAATGATATGGGAAGCCACTGCAATGGTATCCAGCATGAAAAGTCTGCCCATACTCAGAGCATCCAGAGATTACAGGCATGGAAAGGGAAACCACTGAAGCACATATGTGAGCTCTTGAGGTAGAAAAGATTAAGGTCAGGTGCATGAAGGTCAGCAAAGAGTACTTGAAAAAAAGAAAATAGCTACTCAAATTGCTGTAGGCAGATGCTAGGCTGAGAGAGGATAATCTGTGATAATGCCCTTCCCTTAAAAAAAAAATTCCAAGAGAAATTGGGACAACTTCTGAGGCTCTGGCACACTGCAAAAGCAGCCTGAAACGGGCAACTTGAACAAATATCAGCTCTGAGCTTGTCAGGATTTCTTTACACTGTTGTATATTTGACCCATTCTTTGGTTCCTCAGCTCCTATATCTCTTACACAAGTCTGAGTATGAGACAGGAAAACAATGATCCCATCCAGCTCTTCCCTTCCCAGCCTGGGGAAAAAACAACTATACCACTTCTCCTTTCCTGCTGGACAAGGGAATTCTGCACATTCCCTGGAATCTAACAGCAATTCTCACTCGTGACTGTTGTCTGAGGGTGGAAGCACACAACACATTGAGCCAGCACCAATTGACAGACATCTGAAACAGGGGGCACCAGGTGGCAAGAGCCTCATGGCATCAGTACAGTTAACAGGAGCCAAACAGCAGGGAAAGGAAGGCACAAATGATGCACCAAAAGGGAGGCACAAGTGATGCACCAAAAGGAAAGCACAAATGACCCACCAAAGGTGCACTTACTTGTAGTAGCAGATCTCCTGGCCTGCCCGAGTCCAGCGGGGCCTGCCCTGGAGAGCTTCCCTCACTGAGTACATGACCAGCTGCATGCCTGCAGAAAACAGGACAGGTTTAGGTGATGTGACATCCCTGGCTGGAAAACACAGGAGTGGGAAGGAAAAGGCTACAGAAGAAGCATCATTTTTTGGTCTGTACTCTTCTCTGCTTCTAGTTTATGCAGAGTACATTCCCAAATGTGTGTTGTTCTGAGACAGCCATGTCTGTACAAAAAGTCCCTCCAGAAGAAATGAGCTGAATGGAGTTTATTAAAAAATAAATTATTCTTCTGGCCTTTGCAAACCATTTTGTTTACAAACAGAGGAAGGGAAAGAAAATAATATGAATCAAGGCATCAACGAGATCAGTAATTTGGTTAGTCTAATATTTTATGCTTGGCTGCACTATTATTGAACTCTTAATCCTACCGTAGCATTGGAGATCTGTGGTGCATCAGGAACCCTGCCTTCCAAAATCAGCAAGCAAAACTACAAGGTTTTAAACTTACTATTAGTGCTAAATAACACCTAAGCATCATAAATGCTGATAACAATAGCACCCATCTTTGTTCTGCATTATCCCAGATGATGACATCTTCCTGACCTCCAAGATATTACCATCCCATGCCCTGAGGGGCAAGGCTTTCTCTGATCCGAGTTGCACATCTATTACTCACAGCTCCATGAAGCCAGCCCACCTGCAGGGGGTTTCTGTATCAATTTCCTTGGCTGCACACACCTGCCTGCTCTTAGGGCAGGGTGAGGATGCTGCCCTCACCAGTAGAGCTCTCTGCACAGGGGTCCCTGCCCAGGGGCTGCAAAGGAGGCTCCTGTCAGCAGCTCCAGAGGACCCAGCACAGCCACAGCTGAGCCCAGCAATGATGCTGGCATCACCTCTGTGACAGCACATTTAAGAAAGAGAAAAATTCACCCCCAAGTATTTTTGCATGTTGATAAGTTGCCCCCCAAGCCTTCTCCTGGCTGCTCTTGTGCTGGGGGGAGGTGATGCTTGAAAATCACTAATACTGATGACACATTTCCATTAATAGCTATTCAGTTCCCTTCTTCCTTTGGGTTTCTCTGTTAAATTCTCCAGCACTGTTGGAGCCCAGAAGTATCATCAGCAATGCCTTTCCAGCTCACCTTGGGCTGTGCTGTGGGGCAGCACTTACTCACTACAGCCTAGAGCAGCCTCTATAATGATGTTTTCTGAACCAGTGCTGTGAGTTATGTGCAAGAGGCAATTCTGTATTTGGTACCAGGACATGGTTACCACAAATTCTGAGAGACACAGGCCTGTCCAGGTGATCAGGGAAGGGATGTGGGGCTCAGTGTCTGCAGGGCTCTTGGTATCCTGAATGCCAGCTCCTGCCCTTTTGAGTCCAAAGGACTCATGTCGCAGACATCTTTTCATTAAAAATCTTTCCTTAGGATTTTTTCTTCCTGAGAAGCTGAGAGGCCTCAGGAACAAAATGTAAACAATGATTATCTGCTGCTGTGGAATGCAACAGGTGGATCTGTGACTGGTCTCATGTGGATGTTTGGAATTAACAGCCAATCACAGCAGAGCTAGCTTGGCTCTCTGTCCCAGTCACAAACCTTTGTTATTCATTCCTTTCTGTTCTTAGCTTAGCCAGCTTTCTGAGATGAAACATTTTCTTCTATTTTTTTAGTGTAGTTTTAATGTAATATATATCTTTGATCAAGCCTTCTGAAATATGGAGTCAGATCTACATCTCTTCCCTCATCCTAAGACCCCTGTGAACACTGTCACAAACTCACACACAAAACTGTCTCAGAGCAATGGCTGCTACTAATCTGCCATCTCATTCTAATGGAAAAAAAAAAAATCAGTTTTTCCTTTTTACTTCCCCTGTGGAAATGTTCAGTTTTTGAAAACAAACTGAAATCAGGGTTCTGATGAAATCTTCCATGGCAGAGTAAGTTAGTGAAAGAGAGGGAAGGAGAGAGATGGAGGTTGTGCCTCCTGTCTCGCTCTGCTCCTGGCCACAACTATTTCATTTAAAAAATCCTTTCTGCTGATTTGAAAGTCACACAGTGCCATCTAACCAAGAGCAAATGGGAAAAATCAAACCAGACAAGTAACCAGGAACTGCAAAGAATTGCCACCCAGGGCACTTTGGCACTACATCACAACTGCAGGCTTTTTGTCTTGGAGTGTGGGCATTAACCCAGGAAGGTGCAGAGGCAATGTGACAAATAAACAGCATCTCTTACCACTGCTCTGTGCAAATGCTCTGCATGTGCTGGAAGGGGCAGTGAGCCTTGCTCAGCCAAGCCAGAAAAGCTGGAACTTCACTGCCTGCTCGGAGCGGCAGAAGGAACCCACAGAGGAATTGCTGATAGCCAACCCCACAAACAAGCCATCCAAAAGCGAGCCATGGCTTAGCCTCCCTCCTTAGTCCAGATGGTATTTTCACATTTCTCTTCCAAATTTATTATTCATTGCATGCTTGAACATGTGAGTCATGTGCAGTTTCAGGTACACAAAATTAGATTATAAATGCCGACAACAGCCAAACTAGCAGATGACAACCTCTCAGCAATAATAGCCAGAATCTCTGGCTACAGGAGTGAAATGATAGGGGCTACATCAACAACTGCATTGTGGTTTAAAATACAATGCCAACATCCTTCATTTTCAGGCTCCTATCACACAGACCACACTGAATTGTCTGATAATTCAGGTAAGCAGTATAAGATGACCAAAAACATTCAGTTGGGGTCTGTATGAATACTTGAACTTCAGCCCTTTGGGTTAAAGAGTGAATGCCTTTTAATTTATCATGGCACTCACCTAGCCAGTTTCACACACACGAGTGATCCCAGCTCCTCAGGCTGTTTGTTTATAGTACATTTATCCTTAGAGAGTTGTCCTGGTGATGGCTAGAGGCTGTAGCCACAGGGCTTCACAGGAATGCAAAGTCTAATATTATGAACTCATTAAACATTCTTAGCCAGGTCTTGAGCTGGTGTAAATTAACAGAGCTCCATGGAAACAAACCAAGAAAGAAGAAAACCCCCAGCCCATGCTAGCTAAGAATTCAATCCACAGTCTCCTTGCACAAGAAATAATTTCTTTCTAAAATGGGCATTGAAAGATGGGATTTGCCCAGCCCGTTTCTGAACAATTCTGCCTTCCTCCTGAACCATGACAGGACAGCAAGGAACAGAATTTTTTATCATCATTAATATTAACAGAAATTTCAGTGGGTCCAAAGATGTCTTACTAGATAAAACCAAAGAATTGTGAATGTTTGTTTGAGGATTATCACATTAATTTAAATCTTAGAAGTACTTTTGAATCCTATGCTGCTCATTCAGTTCCAACAGATTGCCTTTCCCCCCCAGCTCTCCCAACCCTAGTGCCATTCTTCTTCAGTTCTGGTCTATAAACACAACAGTGATGTTTATTTTCCCCAGCAAATCCTCTTCCAGGTCTCAATATTCAGTTTCCTCCTCAGTTCTCCTGAGGATAGAAAAAGTCTCCTTGACAAACCTAAAGTGACTTTTTCAGTGGACTTCTGGGCAGATTGAATTTACAGTCTCCCTTATAGACACGGAGAGTTTGAAACCTTTATGGCACTAAAAAGATATTCTTGTGAAGAAAAGGCTGCCCCAATTCCCCAAAGGCTCATACCATAATTAAACTGGCTGTTGAGCTTCTCACAGTTGATGATGTTGAAGCGATAGGGAACCGCCGGCTTCATGTCACACACCTCGAAGTAGAACCACTGGTGGTGCTGGCTGCTGTTCACATCTGCATTCATAATGAGGTCATACTCAAACCTGTGAAGGAAAATAACAAAAGCAGTGGCCATGAACACCTCTGCCTGCCACTGAACATGCTGACAGCAGGCTAAGCAGTCAAATTGATTGATACTTTGTGAGCATCACCATCAAACACCATTAAATACTCACAGTATAATAGTCAAAACATTTTGGGCTCTGTTTTCTTAATCATGTTCCTTCTGTGACATCCAGATGTTAGAAGGCATAACAAGCTCCACATCATTCTAGCCTGCTTCCCTGGCTGACCCTTTGCAGAGCCAGGAGAAGGCCACCATCCCACACTGGGACACTCTGTGCAGGGGTACTTACTCACGCACTTGGATCGCCTTCCGAAGGTTTCCCGACTCAAACTTGGAGAAAAATGTCAGACAGCCAGGAGCAGCTGGGCTTGAGAGACTGCTGGAAAGCAAAGCAAGGACACCTGTAGCTGATTGCTTCAAAGACAAGCCTTCCCCAGCACCTTCTATATGCTAAAATTTGCTTTAATATTTTTTTAATAAGCAAGACCCTGCAAAGAGAGAGGAGGAGAGCAAATCCATAACCTTCCTATCCAATGCAGCTTTTCTCTACTCTTGCTTAGTAATTCTAAATCATATCTTCCCTTTTCCCAATATTCTCTTTTGTCACTGTTCATGTTTGCTTTCTTTATTCCAGTTACTTACCCACTGGACTATTCCTATTATTTAATTAATTGCAGAAGGCCACTTTATACAATTATTCTATATTTACTCCTCCATCTGTAGAGTTTCTTTCTCCTACTGCTTAGAAACCCTTAAATTAATCCTAAGCAACTTCATAACTTTCTCCTACCTCAAACTCTCACCTCTTTTCTGCTCCAAAGACTGTTCTCCAAGTCACCTATCCTTCCTCTGAATGCAATTTCTTTAAATTTGGGACCCTCTCCGCTGCCCAGTGCTACATCTTCTCACAGACCATAGCTGAGTGCTTAAAGCTTTCACAAGGCCAGATGTTTGAGGGGTGCTTTTGAAGCGCTGTGTGAGTGTCACACTCATGAAAGAGGGTACATCTACAGCCTGTGGCACTGGCTGTGCAGACACTCCATGGGAAATTCTGCCACAGGGGGTGGAGAAGATGGATTTGTCACTACAGTTCCCAGCACTGATCTTCACCTCTGTTCCAAATCACTGCATGCAATGCAGACAGATCCAGGGACAACCCACATTCCCTTTGATGTATGGATTTTCTTGTTCTGTCTAAAAGTTCTGATGATTTCCTGCTCCAGTGGCTTCCACAACAAATCCTTTCCCTGGAGTCACCTAGAAACAATCTACCCCTCCTGGATATTTTCTCTGTTAGGCCTTTACCTCCTGCTACTTTGCCTTTATCAGAGCTGATCAAGTAAACTGAGCTCAGTGACAGCACTGACAGTGTCCCTGGTTACAGCACTCAATTTAAGGGACCCACCTGGGATCATCTAAATCAAACACAGTTCTTCCTATCACATCCCCCGGCTGGATTAGGCGGCGAACATCATCAAGGACTTTGTCTCTGGGAAAAGAAAGCAGCAAATCAGAAAATTGTAGTGACAGTGTGAGAAATATTGATATAGAGTATTCTTCTAGAAAGAGTCATAGGAAATTCTTTTTAAGGACTGGAAAGGGCTTCCATGTGGTAATTCCAGGTGAACTTTTTTTTCCCCATTGTGAGAACACTTCTGCTCCATCCCCATTACAAGTTGCCTTTTGGGTTAAATCACTGATTCTGGAAGATTATTTATTCTCTACTGGATTGTGTCAAATTTGATTTATCCTCAGTTCTTCCCAGTCAATGCCAACCCCCAAGCAGCCAGTCTTACCCTGTGAGGAAATATCTACCATTACTTACAAACCTACTAGTCTGACTCAAAGTGAATATTGACTGCAAGTCAAGCTGATTTCTACTCATTATTAAACAGAGCTTCTCTGATCCCTGAAGATGATCAAATGTGGAATACCAGATTTGCTTCCTAACCTTTGAAGCAATCATGTTATGCCTTGAAGCATGATATGATTAGTCCCATTTCAGCCATACAGTTACACATGTTGCAGCCATAAAAGCAGAGCTTTTAGAGCAACAGTGCAAGAAGATGGTAGAGTGATTTTCCCTCTAAACAAGATTTCTAGTTCATACATTTACTGCAGAAAGAATCCTAGCAGTCAGAAATCAGTAGTCTTAACAAATAACATTAGTTGATCAACTCTAATTTTAGCATAGAACCCACCATCTTTGCTGCCTGCTAATAATCCGCTACACCACTAAAAAGAAATATAAAGTCATTGCATATAGGCCTATGTCAAGCCAAAAAACTGTAATTAAGAGCTTTATCTCCCAGCACATCTTCAAAACACAGGTCCCCACTCTTCTGAACACCTAAATAATGAGACATCCTTTCTGAAAGGACAGATAGGATTTTCCCTGAGACAATCAGATGGGACCAACAATGCAAGCACTAAAGTGGCTGAATAAAGAATGAGATTGAAGGTAAAAACATATCTCACAAGGACACAGAGGCTTCTCCATCTCTAAAATAGACTTGTTCTCATTTGTGTTCTAACAAGGTCATAGATTCATAACCCAGCTTAGATTCCCATCTAAGCTTCCCATTATTGATGAATTTATCTATCAGTTGAGGCACATAATTGGGTAGCAAAAAATTAGTTCAATAGCTTCCTAAGGCATTCAGAGCTGTTCAGAACCTGCATAAGCCAGTTTTGAGCCCAGGAGCTCTCAGCTTGGTCCTCAGTTTAAAGCACCATCACCTTTGGAGCCCATGCTTGCGCTCCAGCACGGGCTTGCTGTAAGGAGGTGGCTGGTGACCCCAGAAATCCGGGAATGCCAGCTCTCTGTAGCCTGGGATGGACTTCACACATTGGGCCCTGGCTGCATAGAAACAAGGGCTGTGGAATGGGATATCCCCTCGGTGTTTCTCCAGAAGGTTTCTAACCAGATCGGAGCTCTCCAGCCTCCCTTCAGGACTAGGATCGATCGAGGCCTCACAATGAGGGTAAAACACTTTTTTGTACCAAGCAGAATCTTTTAGGAGGGAGCACAAAGCAAACACATGACTCCTGGCTGGATCTTTCTCCTCACAGAATTCTTTATCCTGGGCTTTTTCAGCAATGTCTCTGTTTTCATCATTCTTATCCCATATGCATTCCTCCTTCTTTCTCCAGCTCTGCAATGGGACTTTGAAATCCTGTTCTCCTGGATCTGGTCCCATCTCTGTGACACTTTGGTTTCTCCATCTGCAGTTTGGATGCTTCACAGAAGTAGCACTTGGAATGAAATGAGAGGGAGCAGAGGGAAGACTCTCAGTCCTGTCCTCCAAGCTCTTCTTTTCCTCAGACTCAAATTCAAGCTCCTTTAAATTTAAAAAGCAGAAGAAATTGAAAGAAACTACAGACAGATTGTGCCTCCTTCCAGAGGAAACCTTTCAAGGGGGAAAAGAGGAAATATTTACACATCTCCCAAAACTGTACTCAACCAATAAAACAGCCAGAGCAAAATCAGTGCATGGACCACCTGCCAGCATTTCTCTATCCACAAAGCTGTTTCAACAGAAATCCTCAGAAACCAAAAGGATCTGATTGGAGATGATTTGCCCAGATGACTCAACCAAAACCAATCATTCAAACAAAGAAGGGAAGATATTTTGCAAGGCATTTTTTTAAACTATAAATGCTACAGGAGAGTAAAGGTGGCCAATCTGTCATGCAAAATTCCACCCCCATCTTCATGCAGGAGTATGATTTAATCCCATTTGTCTACTAATGGTCACAATCAGTATCATAATATTTTGTGTACAGGAGATACATTAACACAGATCTTTTTCAGATTCATATTTGAAACAGGATTTTCAGCTCTCTTAAATTCCAAAACCTGTAATGAGTGCAATATTCCCTTTTTTGTCCCAAGCATCACTAGAAAAAAAATATTTGAACTGTTCATTTCATTCAGTGGCAGTGCAATCTCCTCTTCCTTCAAACCACTAGTTGACAGTATTTACTTCTCACATCTCATTCTGATTTTGATATTGCCGTTGAAATTGCCAGCAAGGATACAAATTATCTGACAGATTTCTCATATGGCAATTGATTCAACAGTGTTTACTTAATCTACACCCAGACAAATGTGCATCAAACATCATTCCTTTTTCACTCATGATTCACACCAATGAACTCCTGCAAAAAGTCATAATCTTTGGCTTTCTAGTCCTGTAAGACTTACAGGTTCACTTTTGAAATAGCCTTGTCTAGCTCTTGTCAATGCTCCCTTTCAAGTATTTCTTAAATTATGGAATATTCACAAATAAAGGAAACAGCACTACAACCATACCTGAAAATTCTGGAAAAGTTCTGCACACAGAGCTTCATATTTTTCAAGTTCTTGTTCTGGCCGGTCAAGCACTGGCCTTGACCTCAATTTATTCACATCTGTCTCCAAGTCACAGTCCTACAAAAGCAGAATTAGAAAAGCACGTGTATTACACCTGTCCCATGAGATGATCTCAGCCATCAGTGAATTGAGGATAAAAACAGTGTATGAAACTTCCACAGTCAAAGGCTGCTGTGCATTAATGTGCAGCCTCACCCATATCAGAGGTGAGAACCAAAGCCAAACTGTGTCAAGCATTCAGCTATTACATTATTAAAAAATCAAAAACCTCCAAAATAAAACAAACAAACAAAAAAAAGAAATACCAGGAAAAGTTGGAGCAAGAGGAAAGGATGGAGACATGGCCTTGATGACTGGGCATTGCATTACAGCATTATTCAAATAATTTAACGAGTCTGTGTCCCACCAAATGCCATCAGAGAAATTATTTGTTCCTGACAAATAGATTCATTTCCAAAGCTGTTATAAAAAGAAAAAAAGTAAAATTGCCTGAATGCACCAGTGCCCATGGCATTTCAAACCCTGAGCCATACTTGGGTCACAAAGCAGAGTCTGAAGAGTTTTTGGGCAGAGATGAAAAGGCAGTGAAGACCTGCCAGAAACATGAGCTCAGTTGAAAAGGATTTGCCACTGAAAGCATACTGATGCATAAGAAGCTTCACATTTGAGATGGAAAAGAATAGATGGTTGATGTGGTGATTTCTATTTTCATACAGCTCTAAACAGCTCCTGATGGAAGGGTAGAGCCAAGTTTCAGTTTGGTTGGTGCTGCTAGCATGCATGGATATGTGTTATGTTGCTGTGAAAATGTTTACAAGTCACATCAATACCAGCAAACATTGTGCAAAAGATCTTAAACCAAAAAAAAAAAAAAGGATAAGCTGAAAGTTCATTATCCATTGCTTGCTTTCCCTTTAGCAAGGTTTTTTACAGGAGATATATGACCAGCAAACCAGACAAACAGTATTTAAAACTCGTATGCAGAATAAGCTCTTAGGCAAAAAAAAAAAAAAAAAAAAAATCACTTTTTTTGTGCACAGAGAAGGACGTGCTGATAGGCACAAGGCACAGGCAATATAGGGCTCTGACAACTTGGTTAGAAACTTAAAAAAAAAAAAAAAAAAAAAAAAAAAAAGGCAACCCCAAAACTGCTTACATCTACTTGGTAAATCCTTATGAATAATGAAATAGTTCAGAAGCATAGAGGAGCTGTTACTGAATGAATAACTAATTAAAGAAGGAGATAAATCCACTATGAGCCTTATTCCTAATGAGCATCTTGACAAGCTCTAATAGTCAGATAAAAACAGCCAGACAGGGGCAAGTTAGGACACTCAAATAATGTGTGGGGGGTTTAACTTCCTTTTTTTACTGGGTGACATCAGTTTAATATTTGAGGAGAAAAAGATAGGGCAAGTAATGAGAACTCCCTTTCACAGAAGTCTCAATCATTTCTAATTAGACGGTATTTGCAACTTCATTTCTTTAATTTGCTTTCCCAAGCTACTTTATGTGGATAAGACTTATTAGCAGCATCCACTACTTCACATTTGCATATGAGCTAGTTTGTATTTTCACAACAGAAAAGTTTGCACCCTCATCCTCAGCTGGTAGAAGGTTTTTTTTTTCCAGTTAGGCCACTGAAGGGAGAGTGCTAAGGGAGAATTCAGAGAAGTATTGAATAATTCATTGTATTATTTGTCTGTGTGCAGCAGCAAATAAAGAAGGAATATAGGTTCAAATGCACCAGCTGTGGCTTAAAAGAACTAGCCTTTTCCTCAGGGTAGCTGCACAGCCCAAATATGCTCTGATATGGGAATAAAGAGAGGGTTAGCCTTTCCTGGATGATAAATCAATTTCCCCTAAGTGCCATTTTCCTGGCATATGCCTAGCAGATCAAAGATCCACCATTTATCCCTGACTGTGGATGTGATTCTGGGCAGAGTCTGTGCAGGAACAGAGGAGTCACCAAACCCCCTCCACCCTGGGTGACAAGCATGACAATGAATAGAATAAATGCAGGGCACTTTTTAGTGAAATTCTCCTTTCCTTTTTTTGAGTATCCTCCCATTATCCATGTAGTGGGCTCACGTGGGACCACATGAACATCTATATTCTGTGCTTAGTCTTTCAGGGTGTCAAAAGAGACAACAAAATGTTTTATTTTCCAGTATGCAGACAATTATGGGAACTATGGCTTGTGTACCTACTTCCTCTTTACTCTCCACATCCTCATTATCCCAGTCTTTTTCATCCTCTTCCTCTCCTTCACTTTCACTGTCACCTGCAGGAGTAGGAAGGAGACAAAGGTGTTCAACCCAATATCCCTCTCATACCCCAAAGAGAAATACATGTAAATTCTTCTATGTGTGCTACACAGTCCACAACCCGCCACAACCCTGATTAAGGCAAATCCCATTTGTTAATCTCATATAAATGAATTTGGCACTAATTCACCCAGTTTTTAAAGCTCTGTTCTCTTGGACTCAAGCAGTGCCTTTCAAAACCATGACAAATGTCCCCATGATATGGATCCAACTCATTTTACAAAGCAATACAGAGATTTTCTGCTTGGCTGCAATGATATTACAGGATGCTCTTAATCTGTATTATCTAGATTAGGGTGTTTTAGTGCTATGATTGTTACAGTATTTCAGCATCTTCCACACAAAATTGAATGTAGCAAAAATTGCTTCTGTGTGTCATGGAGCCTTTTCTGCAGAGTGGCTGTCCTGCCTGTGCTTGAGCTCTGCTTTCCAGCAAGAGCTCCCATCTTTTACTGATGCAGCATGACTGCTGCCTGCTTTTACTTTAGAAAGGGAAAAGGATAATAATTCTTACCATTCTTTACTGAAAAAGCTGCAGGGCAGTTTTTACCCCCCAAGCAGCCAATGCACAGGCACAATTACATCTCTGTCTGCTACTGGGGAGCAATGGCATCTCCAGCCTCTGCTATACCCACTCTGCTCCTTTATTTTTTGGATAATAGAATAATTTTTTTTTCCTTTTTCTTCTTCTTTTACATATTCTTTCATTTATTCTACAGACTCTTGCAGCTTCAAGAAGACCTGGGAGTATTTTTTTCCCTACTGAGTGACACTTCAGGTTATCAGATTAATTCAAACTGTAAACCTCAGGATTATGCCAAGTCTCCCTTCACCAGATCTCACGCTTAATTTGCATGTCATGCTCCTTTTCCTCCTTCTGAACTCACCCTTCAGCCATTTACCTTCAGATCCCTCACATGGAGGTTCAGCACTGGCATTCCCAGGAAGAGGGAAGGAATAGGAACTCCTTACAGTCACCACAGGCAGATGCTCCTTGGGGTAGCACTTTCTCAGAATGTGAGTCGCAGTAGTTATGATAGGATCCAGATTTTTACAAGATAAACAGTCCTAGGAAACAAAGGAGAATTACATTAAGAATAGTCTTTTACAACAGCCCCTCTTCTGGTGTGAACATAATTCCCTTCACCACCCAGGATTCACACCCAGAAACTGCAGCAAAACATCATAATCTTGGTTTTCCAGTCCTAAAAGACTTACAGGTTTACTCTTGAAAAAAAAAATCTTGTCATGTGTATGTTTTGGCTGCCAAAACATGCCAAAATCTGTGCTTTTGCAGCTTCAGCATAACTACACCCAGAATCATGCCAAAACTCACAGAGATAAACTAACAGAGTTAACACCAATATTTCAGTGTATTCAAGAATACATTCCCACTGTACTCTGTTCTCTGTGGTTAAATCATTAGGCCCGAGAGCTATTCTGAAAGATCACTATATATTACCTAATCATAAAATAATTAACAACTGCAGTATGCCAGAATTTCTTTTGCTATAATCCAGAGGAGGAAATAGACATGTAAAGATTTTTTAGAGCCCAGGTGTACTTTGAAGACACAGAATAGTTTGCATTTTTGTTGTACTGTTGTGCAAGTGAGCTCCTCAGGCTTTTGTTGCAAAGAAAACAAACCAAAATCTCCACAGAACTAAAGAAAGACCCCCTGAGACATCATAGAAATTATGTATGTCTTCATACATCACAGTGTATGTCTTCAATAGAACAGAGTTAGGGAGTTTGGATAAAGGAATTATAATGCTGCACAAAGGTAAAGTTGATTAAAACCAATGGGTGCAATTCTCAGAAAACCCAGCCCTTGGATTTGCCCAAATACAGCACACCCAAAGAACAGCCTCCATCAGAGTGAGTCATAAGTGCAGAATTCTACGCAAATTCACAATTTTCACTCTGCCTCTCAGCATGTTTTCTTCAGTGGTTTGGAACTAAGATTGAGCTCATCAGAATGGGAATGCAACTTAAATAAGCATCATGAATATGCTACAAGGCAAAAGAGAACTATTGCAATACCTTCTACTACCATTTCATAATTTCGCATCCCTGAGGTAGAGATAAAATGGAACAACCAAGAGGAGAGAACAGATGCTTCATGCCATTGCCTGACAGCCCATAGTCAGCATTTGGGCTGGACAAAAAAACCCTAACAGACAATCCAAGCCTTCAGCAGAGGGCCAAAATAATGTAAAAAAGAACATTAAATGACCATTGGATCACAGGTTCTGCCTGACTAACCTCATCTCCTTCTAGGAAAAGGTGACACTGTTTAGTGGTGGACTTGAGAATGCTGGGTTAATGACTGGATTCAATCTTAAAGGCCTTTTCCAATCTAAATGATTCTGTGATAAAGTACTTTATTATAACCAGGAACATGGCTGTACTGGGGTTCTTTTGGTTGGGGAGGATTTTACTGTTTTCTCATGTATGATTGAATGGCATTATAAGATTCAGTGGGATTAACCAGGATTCCTGTAGGGAGGCTAGAAAAAATCATCTAAAGCTGACATGCTTACAAGACTCACTACAAGAATTTTAATATGTATTTCTGGTTCTCTGGCTGTTTGGAACTAGGGGGAGAGAAAAGAAAATTATGAAAGCATCTCCGAGGAAAGTTTTATTATGGGTAGAGCAAACACCAAGGAGAACTGGTCTCTATTTCTGTTTCAATTTATTCACTCCTTCATATGGTTGCCTTTGTTTGCTTGTTATTAAAGGAAAGATTAGGAAAGTTTGTCTACATGTGGGAACAAGCTAATATTCTCAACAGTCTACTAGTTTAGTTTGCTAAAACTGATCTGTTTTTGCTCAAACAGTGAATGCAGGACTGTTTAATTGCCTGCCTTGGGACAACCTCCTTAATTCATTGCCAAGTGAATTTAAATAGTCAAGACCAAGGCATGTTCATCCAGACAATGAACTTCAACATGTGGAGTTACTCAGGGATGGAGTTACTCAGTGATGCTATTTGGAAGTCATTTTTCTGTGCAGCAAATTAGCTCACAAGTGCAAACAAGCCTTCAGATACCTTGGAGGGAATTTGTGGGACTGTTTTCATTACTGCTCATAAAGTGCTCTCAGATTCTGAGGTAACACTGTTTACAAATGGCTGGAAATGATTACATCAGTGTATTGGAAAAGCCCTTTTTACTGACACCTGGGAAGCAGACAGGAGACTGCTCTGTAAGCTACCCCATTTATTTTGTGGTGGGATAACGTGAATGAGGGAAGAGTAAATCCTTAGCTCAGAAAAACTCATGTAAAGCTAACCTGGATTCAGATCTGCTTTTTAATCTCCACACAATCTTTTCTCCACTGAATCTGGAATAGGACAGATATTATGGCATGTGATATATGGGAAAAAAAAAAAAAGGAGGTTTCAATATGACAGTAAGACAAAAGATAGTGATGCTGATTGATGCTCCTACTGGCAAACAGAGTGGAATATAGGATAATATTATCCCAGTGTAGTAGGGGAGGCTGAAGAGAAACAAGGCAAGCTTAAGAAACCAGATGGAAAAGTGATAAACTATCAAGATAACATTCCATGCAGCAGTCTCTCCTAAAGCACATAGAAACCTGTTTTCCTGTCTCAGAGTAGGCAGCTCTGTCACTGCACACAAAACCAGACAATGCTAATGTGAATATACCATTTAACTGTCAGGAAAATCAAAGTGCAGCTAGGAAAAGGGAATGGGAACAGAAAGTACTTCCTTTCCATGAATGATTTCATTATCTATAATTATTTTTTATTCCGGGTAGGAGTAGAATTCAAAATACCTCTAAATTCCCCTAAAATATCTCTAAACTCTCTGCAAATTGAGTAGCAGTCACTTCTAATCTATGTGAGGTGACAGTTTTTGAACTATTGGCTCCTCCTGTAAAGAAATAAGCTTAAGGGCTATTAAAAGCTCAGGTATTTCATCTGTCCATCAGCCTGGACAATAGGCAGCCAGAGAGGTTTCAATTGAAAACCAGCCTTGTAAATAGAATTTCCACTGGAGTTTAAAACAAACCCATCCTGGCAAAATGGTTTTCATTTCAATAGATATGTGCATATAAGAAAAACAAAAACCCAAACGAACAAACAAAACTTAAGAAGTTTCAACAGAACTTTTCTACCCAGATTTTAACACTGTAAAAATCTCATTAGCTGCTCAGTGTCTGGTCCAGGTTAATCACCAGAGCCAGTGCATTCCCTAAAGGCACTGAAATACTGTCCACACACAGAGTCATTGCTTCCCAAATCAGGAGTTGTTTGTCTTGCCCTGTCTTCATCTCTTTCCCTCTTGCTACAGCCTGTTTTCCGTCTCAGGATACAAGATTTCCCATCTTTCTCTCATGAAAATTATGAAGATTTTTGTGGCAGTAGCCTCTACCTCAGGTTAGATAGGGAAGAGCATGAATGAGATCTCCTAGGGCTGCCAGACTCCTGCCAACACTTCATGTCTTGGAGAGACACTGCAAGACTGACAATATCCCAAAGAAGCAGTGGGAGAATATTGAGCTTTGAATCTATTAACCTTGGTTATTTCTTGTCCAAGGTCTCCCTAATAGCACACACTGGGAAAAAAAGCAAACTGGAGGGCCCTGAAGCTGTCATTTCTGCTCCACTTCTGACCTTTGGAAGGATTAGCATTTTCAGTGTTTACTGGAGCCTTAGGATGCCACGTCCTGTTTGTGCACCCAAGGTGACCCCACGTTTGCTCTTGCCATGGAGCTGCTCCAGGCTGAGCTATCAGGATGTGTTAGCTCAGAAAGCTTCGTGGGCTGTGGGAGGCTCTTGAGAGGGAGCATCCACCCTACTCATGTTTCTTCAGACCAGGGACTTCTCATTAACAGAGGCCAATCCCTTGGGAGGTCTGCTGGCTCTGGCCACCTCATCCTACCTAGAGAAAATGTCAATTCTTCATGAAGAAAGTGAAGGGAAAATTCCAGAATTTTCCCATAGGCTGCTGGTAAGAAATGACTCACAGAAGAATCCTTCATGACAGTGATGGAAAAGGGGAAGCAAAACACTGAATCATAAGGCAATGCATTCTTTTTAAAGGAGGAAAGAAACAGGTTTTACTTTCTGATGGTTCTAGAATGAGATAATGCATAGCCAGTAAGAAAAACAATGGAAACACTCCTAGGGAATCACACAGGTGATTTTGTCTAAGTTCAAAGCAAGCTAAGGAAGCATTTTGCTGAGAGACTGAGGATACTCTCACTGTTCTGTGCCTGCCTTTTCTGTACCTTATAGGCATTTCATCCACAGCACCATGGGCATCTTTCTCTCTCAATAACGTTTCACAAGATTAAAATTTAACCTCCCGAAAAACTGTTGATGGATGTTTCTCATTAGGAAAGGCTTGGCTAAATGAGCATTTTGTTTAAAAGGCTAATTGAGTGGAATTATCTGGTTATTGTAAAGGAAAATCCCACAAAAGACCTAAGCAATTCCTCTATAGAGATATTGCATTATTCTTCAGGAGAAGTCCAAGCAGGCAGCAGGATGCACAGGGAAAGAGAAAAGAAGCACTAAAAGCATGAACTAGAATTCCCATAGGAATTAATATTTGTTTAAAACTGAAACATTTCAGCTTTTCCAAAGTACTAACTGTGTAAAAGTCAAATAGTTCTTCATGTAATCATTCTTTTCATTTATATGTCCTATTCTGAATTAATATAATGATGGCATTTCCTGCAGTGGGATGCAGAACCCAGCCCTAACCACCAAATCACCTCATTTAAACACAAAAAGCATCCTTTACCTGCACACTTGTGAAGAGAATCTCCATTCCCCGGGAACCAAGGAAAGTCTCCCTGCCCAGCTGGATGTTGGTGATGTACTTCAGGCAGAGCAGGAGGCCCCTGCGGATGTAAATGTAGTTGTTGGAGACATCATTGCGGTGCCAGTCTTGGTAGAGCCTCAGCAATTCCCCCAGGTAGCCTCTGTTCACTGCCCTGCGGCTGTTGGACTCTGAAAAGGAGAGAAATGCTCAATTAAAGTCCTTCTGTTTGGTAATTGTGGCTGCTCAGCGCTTGAACTCAGACTTTAACACCTGCTCATTCTGGCTTAATCTCAGTTTAAAAAGATATTTTTTGAACTCCTTTTAAATTTAAAACGTTGTTTGTTAAACATGACCCATGTTCTTGGAACATTACATGAAAAAACACCCCAAAAAACACAACAGTGTCCTGTCTGGAAACAGGAACCCTCCAGATGGACCAAACCATAAGCCTGTATCTCCTTCCAAGTGATGATAAACCTAATTCCAGTTGCAGCACCACAAGATTTCCTGAAACTACCAAAGCCCCCGAGGAGTGAGAAAAGCTGAATAAAGTAAGAGTAGTCAACAGCATAAAATCTTCACCACAATGCTGCACTTCTGTCCTGAGAGAACACCTTGTTGAGATCAACAAACTCAAAAACCTTGTGGCTGTACAGTCCTGCCACAGCCAGAGAAATTATTTTTAACTTCTAAATGTATTCCCACATATACCTGTATAATGAAAGCCATAAATCAAGTGATTCTGGAAACCCACAGTATTTAAAAATTAACAAAACATCAACATGAGCAATAGCAGTTGGGGCTTCTTTTCTGTTGCTTCCTGGCTCCAAGATTTTAAAGGTCACATTCAGGTAATGTTTAAAGGCTTTACTGCATGGGGAAGAAAATTACAAAAAATATTTTTAAAAAGTAAGGTTTATGAGAGCTTGTGATATAATACAAAGTCTGCTGAGTTTCTAAAACACATCCCTTCACCTCCTGCATTCCTTGCCCTGGCCCTCAGAGCAAACATGAAGGCACACCAGACTCCAGGCTCCCTCCCTTTAAACCAACCCAGCCTAAATTTTCCTGACTGGTCCTGACATCCCTTGCTGTGACACGCACTAAAAGCTGTCAGAAGCTCAGTAATCAACTGGGGGGCAGGTAACATATGCAAGGCAGGAACTCAGCTCTCTGAATAGCAATCAGCACTTGCAGCTCACAGCAGATGGCTCCTGGTACCAGAGCTGGTGGGCTCCAATCCATTTCCACTTCATTAAACAAAGTGCCAGAGCCACTCACACCTGGAGATTTAAATCCATCAGTGGGGATTCACGGGACAGGAGAAGCAGCTAGAGGTTAAGTGAGAGAATGGGAAGATGCTGCCTGAAGAAAATCAGCAAGAAGAGAAGCCATGGAAGGAATAAGTAGGAAGGAGCAGCAAACCTTAATCCCAGTGAGGAAGAAGATGGAGACATTGGAAAGGTGAAAGAAGTCACCTAAATTGAAGTCTTCTGTTGTGACTGTGTTCCCTGGGGTCCCAGAATGAGGGAAGAGATGAGGATTTGACTCCATATTTCAGAAGGCTTGTTTTATTATTTTATGATATATATTACATTAAAACTATACTAAAAGAATAGAAGAAAAAGTTTCATCTCAGAAGGCTAGCTAAACTGAGAATAGAAAGGAATGAATAACAAAGGTTTGTGGCTCAGACAGAGAGCTGAGTTAGCTGGGCTGTGATTGGCCATTAATTACAAATATCCAACATGGGCCAGTCACAGATCCACCTGTTGCATTCCACAGCAGCAGATAACCATTGTTTACATTTTGTTCCTGAGGACTCTCAGCTTCTCAGGAGGAAAAAGTCCTAAGGAAAGGATTTTTTATAAAAGTTGTCTGCGACATTGTCTCAGTCTCGTCTCCGCAGTAGATGAGCAAACCCTTACCTGAAGAAGGGATTGGAGGGTTTTTCTGCTACCTGGCCTGGTCTTGCAATTTTCTCTACCATTGGCACCAACGAGCACCCAGGCTTCCAATTCATTTTAATGCTGCTCTGCACCTTCACAGCACCCTGCTGGTCCCACAGAAATTCCAGTCCCACACAGCTCTGCCCAGCCTCCCACACCTTGGCCTGCAGCTCTCCAGCATTGCCTTCCCTTGCTGGCAACCATCTACACCAACTCTGCGTTCTGAGCCTCAGTGGTTGTCAGATGGAGAAGGTCACCCTCCTCCTCTGACCTTCACTCTGTATTTCTGTTTTCTATATGACTCTCTGCAAGAAAACTTTAATTGCTTGAGAATCCCTTATCAATCCCAATGATTTTATTCATGATTTCCTGTTAATCCTCAACCAGCTGTCATGTTTACTAACCTGCAGGATGACTAACCCCTTAAATCAGTCAATCTTCCTTGAAGAATGACTCAGGAAGCTCTGTAAAAGTCAATAAGTGTATAAAACATGACAAGAAGAACAGAGTTGGAGAGCGTAAGGTAGGGACAATTTAGATCAGACTCAGAGCTTCCCTGAGCTGTTCAGGGACAGATGAAATTGGACTAGATCTAGGCTTTTATAGCCTCTAGCACACAGAGCTTGAAGTCTAAGCTTTCTGTGTCAATGTCAATAGGAAGAGGGGAAAAACTGGGAAGCACTGTGTGTAGAGCTTCTTGGGGAATTTGCTGAAAAAAAAAATTCCCTCTCAGAGTGTGTCTGTGATCTTTTAAGACAAGATTTCCACATTTGAATCTCAGCTCCACAGGGACCAAAGCACACAACTGTCCTATGCTTTAGTTTTAATACTCATTGAAAAGCATGGAGGAAGGTGAGCAGAATAATTTTGCTGTATCTTCACATGTTTTCTGTAGTACTCACCCCCTTCAGGATCAAAACAGTCTCTTTTCAAAATGAAGCTGAGATAGTCTGTTCTGTGAGAAAGAGATGGAGAGGCAGGACTAGATTTCCCTGAACCCTTTGATCAGAAGCAATGAGAATTAATTGCTGAAGGGGCAAAAAACACATTAATTTTGTTTCTCCTGTCTGATTTCATTGATTCTGCTCTGCTCTCCTGTGCTGTCAGTGTTTTTTCTTTATTTTTTTCCCATTTTTTCAGCTCTATAGTCAATAAAGTAGTGAATAAACGAAAGAGGAAGTATGCCAAGATCTCCAGAAGGCAGAATGGAAAAAGGAGGCCTCCCCACCTGTCTGTGTCTGTTGGTCTCTCCATCTAGGGATGCACCAGCATGGGTATCTATCTATATTTTGGCACAAATACAGATGGTGGAAATGAATCATACAGGTACAAGCAGCACTGCACAGATTTGTAGGCAGCAAGAACCACCCCTCCTGGAGTGAATGCTACAATCTGTGCGGTAAGTGGCAAAATGTCCTGTCTTCTGACCCTCTTCCTGACATTCTTTAGTTAGGCCCTTTCCCTCTCCCTGGGTATGGTCAGTGGCCAGTGGAAATGGAAGTTTTCCTGACATGGAGGTTTCAGAGGTGTCCAGGGATGGTTCCTCCTATTTTGAGTGAACTGAAGGGATTCCTTTCTTGTGAGGCCATCAGTGGGAATTCAGCACCAAACACCAAAAAAACCCTGTTTTGACTAAAGACTGGGCTGATTAGTGGCCAAAGCTGCAATAACAGCAAAAATCTGATATACATCAACCACTTTAAGCTCTCCATATCTGCAGCCATTGGATGAACTCTCCAACTGCAGCTGGATGTGTGGCACTGACAGGGAGAGCTCCCAGGGTTACCCCTCAAGGCTGAGGGATCCCTGACCTGACACCAGGCACAGGTAGCTTGGTAAGTGACATTTTTTTGCATGTGTGTGACATTTAAGACATGTAGTGAATTTATGTGCTCATCTTTGTATCCCATTCTAACCTTAAATATAATAAACAGAGTATTGCCCTCCAATCCATCTGAACTCATTAAATATTTTACATACTCAGGTTTGTTTATTAAAACTAAATTAACTACTAGATCAGATTTGTCTGAACCATCTCTGACTCCTCCCCTGTGACAGTCTTCCTAATCTTATTCTGCCATCTCTGACAGGGGAGCATTGTCTTCATCACCACCCCAAACCTGTCCCTGGAATCCAATTTTCTTTGCACGAGTTTCACTTCTGCCTGATGAGACTGGGGTGAAAGGAAAGCATTCATTGCTTTCTTAGTTTCTCACATTTCAAGACCTGCCCCCTCATTTGTGGCTTCCAGGGCAGTGCTGCTCATCAGGGAAAGTTTGATATCTGCAGCTCAAAACATGGGACCTGAATCATCTGTGCAGCTCACCAGAAACATCTGACACGAGTCTCCAGCCAACAGGCAGAAGCCTCAAATGGTTAAAGTTACATCTAAATTACCAAGGGGATCTCACTAGGAAGAAATCCCCGGTTTTGATAGAATTCTCATTCTGTGGTGGGGGCCTAAAGTCAGGTTTTCAGTCTAGGAGATGAAAGCCTCACGACCACCAGGGCTGCTGTGGACATTTCTGAAGCCCTCTCTGCAATCCTGTCTCCTTTGAAGTGTTTGCCAAGAACACGGGTACCACTGGAAAACATGCAGTGTATTTAATCAAAAACTGAATTACAGTCAACCTGAAATATGATGAGCAATGCACTGCTTACCAGGCAGAACAAAGAGATATTTATCTTTCTGTCTATCTGCTTAAATCTCTTTGTTGATGCCACTCAGCTGATTCATTATGCCAAGAACATACATTGCTACAGCTTGGAGATAAGAATACTCTGCTAAATTAACCCTATGGCCTCTAAAGCAGTGAAAGGAATAAGAAAAACTCCAACTTCTCCACTCTGCTCTAGTGATTGCCTCTTAGGAATAAAAAATGCAAGATATCTCCTACAGCAAAGAGAACACAGCTGTTTTATTTGGTCATTGAGAGGCCATTTTTGCAGAGAAAAGCACAAGGGCTCTCTATAGACAAAGTTAATTGTCCCCATGAAGAAACCAAGTCACACATGAAGTGCTGGGATCACTTCTGACCCAGTGGGCTCTTAGCAAGAAGGTGGTATTAGCTCAACTCATGTTGGAAGCCAGAAAACTGCCCTGTAGTTTTGCCCTAAACAGTTTCCCTTTCCTTCTTTGCTTTTCAGAAAACCAGAAATAAAATTAAAAACAAAATACAGCTGCAAAAAATCTACAGTTTGAATTTTTTTCCTGACTGAAGTGGTTTGAAAGAGTTTTAATAAGGACACCAGAATTTGGAAGACTTCCTCAAATTCAGGCACTGAATTTACAGAAGCCAGATCATCACTGGAGGGACAAACACTGCCTATGCCAAGACAAGGAGGTAAACAAGCATCATTAAGGATGTCAACAGAGAATAATGCAGCTCCTCAATACTAAGTTTTTATTACACCTACCCTGAGAGGCAAAACATCAGGAAGTTGCCATGCCCCAGGAGAAAAAGTCAACACTTTGCTTTGGACCAGAGTTACATCAGTTTGGAATATGTCCATGAATGAAGAGTCTTGGGGAAAGGAATATAAAGGACATAGAAAAATTATTTTCTTTCCCACAAAGTGGCTCTTCTCAAAGAGATAAAAGTATAGAATCAAGATTGTTTGCATTCTGAAATTCAGGAAGAAAAAAGACAGACATAATGCTTGGTTTAGGTTATCATGAAAGGAGCTGCAAAATTCAAGTCTGATCACAATACCCAACAAGATGTGATCATGGATTTGGAGCCAGGCTGACACTGGACCTCAAATCCAGAGATGGATAATAAGGATTTCAATGGATGATGGAGATGGGTAACCGGTGCAGTATGAGGCAAATCCCAGACATTGTGCTGTTGGGATGGTTTAACAATGGGGTATTTCCACTCGAGATCAAAGAGCTGCCTCACTAGATCTTTGTCAAGCATTATGAATTCAGTAGCAGGCCTTTCACACTCCTTAATCTGCTTCTGTGCTAGAACATCACTTTCTCCTCCTCAGAGTTACTTGCCCCTCCTTGATGCCAACATAAAAGGAAAAGAACGACAATGATTATTTTATCCCAGCAGAAATAAAATATTTTTATGGTTTGATAAAAAAAAAGTGGGTAAAAGGTTAAATAAACATTAGTTGATGGAAGATGGGGAGGAAAGAGTAGAAAAATGGGAGGTCAAAAGCTGTGCAAGAAGATCAAGATAGTAAAAGAAGGGAGATTTAGAAAGAGAGAAGGGAAAGGCCATCAGCAGTAACTGCTGTTAGCACACAGAATAGTCTTGATGAAATCAACATCATCAGGAGGTCACCACAACCTGTCTTTTTAAATTGCTCATTACAATTTTCCCGGGCAAGCATTGCACCGAGGGCCCTGCCCGTTTCCCCAGCCCTCTCCCTCAATATCCGCTCAGCCAATGCCTCTGAGAGCAGCTCCAGCTAATTTCCTCACAGACATGCAAGCCAGCGATTCTGGGAAGCGCAGATAGTCGGGAATAACAAACACGACCAAAATTAGATTAAAATAACCTGCTGATAAACAAATTACTCACCCAAAATACACATTGGATTAGGCACGGTGGGGATCCCTATAATCACATCGCCACCGTGTGGCTCCTGCTCCCTCACATCCCCTCCAGGCTCAGCACCCCTGGCTTGCCTTTGTCTGGACTTGGGTAGCAGGTGCCCAGCTTAATTCCACTGCCCCCAAACTGGGAATGGATTTTCTGGTTTATTCTGGGGTTTGGGGTCACTAAAAGCAATAGACCCCATGGCTAGGAGTGCACTGGAGGGCATCCCATATCTGCTCAAAAAGGCTCCAGCCCCTCCACACCTTGATCTTGATGACACAGGAGTGCTCCACAATGAACTCCTCAGGCCTTAAGACAGCTGGATCAAGATATGAAGACACATGTACAGAGAAGAATTAGAGCAAAGCCAAAGGAGGCTGGAAAAATTAGCATAGTCACTCTGGGACAGAGACAAGAGACTTTGGGAAAGTTTCTGTGCCTCACTCCATTTCAGTTTATCTATATCAGGATCAGCCTACTCCTCCCCACCCTGGCCTGGAGTGAGCATCTCGGAAGAATGGATATGAGTAATACTGGAAAGTTTGACTGTAACATCAAAGAGAAAGACAAAAAGTCTCCTGATATTCGCACAGCAATTGAACACCACTATAGATATTTACCAATCAGAATGTCCAGCCTTATTATAAAGTCAGAGTTAACATCGTGGAGAGACAGCAGATTTTAAAAAGGCAGCCAGGCAATGGAGGAAGAACTTGCTATGAGCTGTTTGCTGAGTGCATGTGGCCATGGCAGGTGGTGAACAGCAACTGGGAGAGCAGCATGCAAGGGCTGGGATGTGTGCAAAGAGAAGTCAGGAGTGAGAGGCTAGCTGATGGTCAGACAAGAAATGCCTTCTCCATATCAGTAATCTGAGTTTCCACTGATAGGAAGGTGCAGCACTGCCATCAGAAAGGACTTCAACTCCTCCATTATTCACCATCTCTGATTACCACCTTGTGGCAATCACTGAACACAGGAACACAGCACAACCAAGGTGTCTCAGCTCTCACTGGATTTCCAAGCATTTATTCCCTGCTGTGGATGAAGCACAAGTTTGTTGTGCTCCATCACTTATTTCTTTAGGCCATCTTGTACTTCCCCCTCTGAAACACAACAGCAACAATTCCCCAGGTCCATCTGGGTTGGTAATTCTTTCTTACACTGATGTCTCTTTCCCAGGCATATCTTGCTTCTTGCAGTTATGCACCTGATAAGTGAGCATTTAGCATCAGCTTCTGTTAGGAAGGAGACAGAAGCCAAACAGTTTCCAGCCAGCCCATGGCTCTGCAGGTGGACAGAGTCTCAGGTGGAAGCCTGAGATGAAGATGGATGTTTCTGGCTCCATCAGGGAGACACACTGCCATCTACCTGCTCCCTTTAAAACTGCTGTCTCAGTGCAGAGAAAAATAAAAGCAAGAGGGACACTGAACCTCCAGCACAGCCCCGTGCATAACCATAATGCCCTGGATCTCTTTGGGCTGGAGCACTCAAGGACAGGCCTAAAGGGGTACCCCAGAATGGCCATGTTCTTGTCCTGTCTGTCTTACAGCCTTCAGCAGCATCAAAACACAATCTCCCCATCATTTTCCACCAAGGTTTTCTCTAAAAAACCTCACAATAATCAGTCCACTGCGGTAGCACTTTCCAGGATTCCTGCCTTCTGTTTAGTTTGCATCCCAACTAAAACAAGCTCAGGTGCCTCTGAGTTCTTTGCTGTGTGCAGCTTTACCTCTGTTTTCATAAACAATTTTCAAGTGCTATAGCATTCCTACCTTTCCAAGAACCCCTTCACTGAGGCCAGGGCCACAAATATGTTAACTGTGACAAAGAAAGATGTCCTGGTGCAATCCTGAAAAAGAAATCATTGCTCTACCAAGCATGGTGAATTTATCTCAAGGAACCAGAGCTGTTTCTCACATCTCCTGACCCACACTTCCCAAAAGACACAACCTGCTCATTTGTATGCAGCTGCCAGAGCAGACTGTTCCAAAAGCCTGGAGCTTCTGCTGCCCTGAACCACAGGACAAGGAGAAAACCAGAATACATTCTTGGTCACTCAGAACTGCAGAAATCATCCAAAAAACACCAGTCAGGCTGACTTCTGGTGTGTGATGCTCTATTTGATTTTACAGCATCAGCACCATTTCTTAAATTACATCTCCAGTACCTTTAAAAAAAACCCAAAAACCTGAAAATAGACATCTTTTCTAAAATCAGTTTACCATTCCCACCCAAACAACACTGCACTTATTTACATCATTTTCTCCCTTTCCATGGAAGAAACAACAAATTGGGAAGGGAAATAAGTATTTGTCACTGGCTGGAGAAATTCTCCATTCCTCCCATTATACCAAGCCCCAGGACAAGCAATGCACTCTAAATACTCAAAATGAAGGTCCAGTCTGGATCCCTGGGCACTCACAGGGCTGGAGCACTCCAAGAATCAGAACTGGTATAGGAAACTCCTGTACTACTGCCTCTATCCTGTGCTTTGCTCTTTGGGATCAAGGGATGAGGGAATATCAAGGGAGAATGAGGTTCAATAGGATCACTCTGTCCAGCAGCACAGCACAGAAAGGAAAGTCAGAAAGAATATGAAGAAAAAAAAAATCTTACTTGATTTCAGCAGAGCTGCCAGAGCCCCAATGGCTGCCCTGGGGAAAGAAGAGAGATGGAGAAATAATGTCAATTTCTTCAACAATTTTTGTAACCTTCATCTTCACAGTCTTCTGGGCCAGGCTTCCCAGATGGTCTGAACTGACAGTTTATGATGGACTTTGACAGAACTGCAATGTTTGACACCAACAGGGGTTCCAGCCTCTGCAGCTGACTCGGTTATTCTAAAAGACCATTAGCCCTCTAGCTTTACTGTTACACTGATTTGTAGTGACCATTAAAATTTAAAGCAACACCCACAAAGTGATCTAACAAGTCTTTAAACTGCTGCCCCAAAGCTTTTTCTTTGTACCAGAGACTTAGCACGTGCCCATTCCAGACACAAGTGCTTCTCTCTGCATCAGCAGATACAAGCTGGGACATCAATGTCAATATTTCCAGCAAAATCCCACTCCTTTTACTATTTTCCCAAATCAAGCTTCACCCCTATCCTCCTTCCCAGTTTTAACAGAAAACAAAACTGAATTTCTTTTAATTGAAACCACACCTTGCATTTTGTGTGTAGAGGGCCCCACTCAGACGAGGACTGGTAGAAAATGTGCTAAAGCTCTGTAGTAAAGTGGCTTGCAGTGAGTAAGGGCAGGGACAGACATTTCTGAGGACCTTCTGTGTCATTTCCCCCCAACTTCCAGAGGCAAGTTCCTTCCTCTTGTGGTAAAATCTCCATCCGACTTGTCTCACAGAAAACCTGCTTTTCCAGTCATGTTCTGCTGGAGCAAGATCCCTGTTCTAATATGGCTTACTGCTGTGAAGCACAGAGCTGCTTAAATAAATACAGCTACAAAAACCTCCATGTGCAAGGATTCCCTAAAATGTAATCTCTTTACAAACCAATCCCCAAATAAAATTTTATTAAATTCCATACTGAGCCAATTATCATCTTGCAGCAAATAAATATTCTTTTGTCACCAATTCCTGGGTTTTTTTGTGTGTCCTAACAGCAGTTCAGACTAAGATTCAAGAGCTGGTTCTTGCTGATGCTGGGTCAACATCTCCATCTAAAGTCATTTTTTCATAATGAATCTGTCAGAGTTCAACAACAGCTTTACAAACTGCAAAGAAAACACACTCAAATACAGATAGAATAGGGAATCAGTAGCTAAAAAAAATCTCACCAGTGAAGCACAGCCATGCTTTTATTACTTCTTTAGCACCAACTAAACAGCAATCATTCAGATGGTGGAGGAGTAATGTCATACTCCAGCTATTCAGCCTGCTCAGGAAAGGAACACTCTACAGCCACTGATCACTCAGTCTCTCCACAAGTTCTAAGCCTGGGACAAAGTAATCAACTCTAAGCAAGTTAAAATTCCACCCAGAGCATCTCCCAAAGCCCACACTCCAGTATGTCTTTAAAGAGGGACTGCTCTGCATACCTCTATTTTACAGGCCTAACGTGATGTCTCAATCACCTGCTGGAGCAGCCGAGCAATGGAGGAACGACCAGAATTTCTCTGGCTCCAAGCAGAAGAGTTCTCAGTATTTCCTCCAGGCATCTGTTTTATGTTGTAGGTGCTTATGAGCGTTGCTAAGAGTTTCAGCATAGCTACACCACTGTCATAAAGAAGAGAACACTGCCAGCAAACCTCCCTTCAGACAATAAATCAGCAAATCTGGATCTTCCAGTATTTTTGGGGGAGGTCTGTGAAGCACATTGTACACAGACAACTTCATTCATCCTCAAAGGATCCCAAAATTCCCAGAGCATGCTCTCATCTAATCTCCGGTCCCAACTGTCCAGGCCTGGTAGACTCCAGTGATATGCATTGCTTTAGAATAGATTTTGAGAGAAAAAAAAAATAAAAGACACAAGGATAAAATTACTTTACTTGTTTTGCAGTTTAAGGGATAAAACAGACTTACCAAGAGTATATCAAGCCAGCCTAACTTGGTATTTTTCTTTGATAAGAAAATCAACTTCTTCTACACAAGGGAAGTGTGGTAGATCAATTTATCTGTACTTCAATAAAGCATTTGATATGATGCCACACTGAAAATTATTAGCCAAGCTAGAGAACATGGGATTAGAGTAAGAATTACAATGTGGGAAAGGAATAGGTTAAAGACTCAATGACAGGAGTTGTGCTGCAGGAGGAATTATTAGTCTAGAGGGAACTTATGTGTGGAAGTCCTCAAGGATCTTTTCAGACTGATCTTATTTCAGCTTTTCATTAATGACCTTGGCACAAAAAGTCAGAGTATACTAACAAAATCTGCTGACCGTGTGAAGTCAGGAACTGCTGCCAATAGCAGGGAGTTCAGAATATCTTTCAGGAGTAACAAGATGTTCTTGAGTTCTGAAGGAATAGAAATGTGATGAAATATAATAGTCAAAGTGCAAGGTTAAGCATTTAGGGTTTAATAAGGATTACTGTTATGACCAGGGGCTCATAATTTGGAAATGAGTAGAAGGACACCCTGGATATATGAGCCCATTAAGGGATAAGGACAAGCATAACCAGCAGGGTGACAACCATGAAAAGGACAGATCAGGTCTCAGAAAACCAGTGGAGAAGGGAGCATGGACATTCTCATAGAAGGCTTCACCTGAAGCACAGCTGTGTGCAGAACTCAGAAGGAGCCATGCAGAAACCTGCCAAGGAAATCATTATGGTACCAGAGACATAACTCATTAGGAGTCTTAAAGATCAGAGTTTAGTCACCTTAACAAAATGACAACCAAGAGACGACTGGATTGTTCCCCTCAGACACACTGGGTGGCAGAGAAGTAAACACTGAGGAAGGCAGAGAGATACTTAGAGCTGAGGAAAAAATTTGGCCCTAGGACAAATGGATATAAAATGGCCTTGAATAAATTTAGCTGGAATTGAAAGGATGGGTTTTAAGCACTGGAAAATGAAGGCATGAAACATCCTCTTGGCAGCAGGGGGACAAACAACCTAATGACTTTGAAAAGGCAGCCTGGATTGCTTATAATGGGACTGCCACCAGTTGCCAATGAGGAAGGGGTCTGAGAAAAGTGACCCAGGAATGACTGTACCCCTATAGCCTTACATTTTAAACATAGATATAATGGGAATGAAATGAGAAATATGTATTCTAAGTGCAGAGTTAATCAGCCAGCCCAGAGAAGAGCAGCTGCATCAGCTTAAGATGGAAGTCCAAAGAGTCCAGTGTCCTGTGGCAAGCAGTGCCAAGGAAAGCATACAAGGCCACAGCAGACACACAGGGCTAGGACTTGCTAGAACAGATTCAAACTCCAGCAGTTTTCAACCCAGAGATCTCATAAATGGTGCCTTTGGGAGGGGTTTCAGCTCTCAGCTGATTTTTCTTCCATATATTTGCCTGAGAACTTTTGAACTTGTGCAAACTCTTAGCAGTCATAATTATCCTGAAAAAGGACTCCACACCTACATTTGTTTTAAGTTTGGACTTTCAATCAGCATTGTAATTTTCACATTAAGTCAGGTGTTAGCCACCTCCAGAATATTACCTATCTTTGATGCTGAACAAAGTCAAACAAATAAAACACCTTATGGGGAACAATAAATCATAGAAGAGGAATAGAAACAGAATAGGTTTTCACTGAAAGCAGCAGCAAGACCATTGAAGCATCAGTGAGGCTACAGGAAACCAGGTAATGGTGTTTGTGATAATAGCAGCACCTCTTACCACCACATGGCAAACCAACAGCATTTTTGCTGACATCAGGTGATATAATAAGATGAGTAAGCCTGGGACAGGAAAGCTGAGAAAGGAGTTCATAAATTGTGTACAAGAGCAAGGACAGGGCAGGAGGGAGATGGGAACAGGAGGAAAAGTTTGAGAGCACAAGAAAGATGACTTGATGAGCCATATGCCAGACCAGAGAAATTGATAGCGTGCCCAGAGCAAATCTCTGTATTTGTCTCAAGAAGGGATGGAGGGGAGATGAGGAGAGGAAAAAGGGATTAAAACATTTAAAAAACTTGCCAAATCTGTCCAGATGCCTTCCTCTGATTTCCTGATTTCTGTGGTAATACATTAGCAAAATTTTAGCTGTTTCATCATGTCCAGTGAATCCCAAAGGAGACTAATTTATATATTAACCAAAAAAGAGGCATAAATAAAGTTGCACTGTCTTATAAAGCATAATAATAAATGCTGCTCCATAATCAGAAAACACTAAAAACTCCCTGTAGTAGCAGTCGAGACAGCCACTCTGCAGAATGGAAAACTTTGAAGTGTTTCCAAGTCAGCAGCTTGGATATCTGGGCAAGAGTACAACTAGCAGACAGATAGACAAATGCAACTTCCAGATCCTTTGCTTAGGAACCAGGAGCAACAACAAAGAAAAACTCCTGTCCCAAGCCAAGGCACAATTGGATTAGCCAGTAAAACCAGGCTGTTAAAGAGCTGGACAAAGGAGCCCTGTGCCTAGGTCACCCTCTCAGATCTGAGCTGCCAGGATATTTTTTGCTGGAAATCACTGCAGGCAGAGGAGCCTGAAAACCAAGATCCCTTCTGTTTTCTTCTGCACTCTAATCTCAGCTCACAGCACAAGGCAATATTATGGACAATCCTGGGCCTGTTTCTGTCTTTTGAAGCAAACAGAAGGACTCCTGAAAATACAAAACCCCACTCCAGAATAGATACAGGGTTGACTGCATGGAAGGATTTAAATACTCACACATTGATGGGACACAACCACCCAGGACTAGGCTGGAACTATGCTCAGGGGACAGCAGAGAAGCCAAAGACTGGACAAAGAAATTAACCAAAAGGGCTCTGCAGATCAGCTTAACCATCCTTTCTTCTGTGAGATTGTGCTTTCTACATGCTAAAACACAGAACACCCTCTTCAAATTATTGAATGAAAGCTAATGACTTTGTGCTTTATTAACATCTCCAACCTAATGCCTAATTCCTTACAGCAATCAGACCTGGATATAAAGACATAATGCAATATTTTTATAGAAATGTAAGAAAAATTTCTGCCCTGGCTGAACCCATGTTGGTCAACTCTTCCTGCCCTTCA